CCCCGTAAAGCACCCAGTCAAGCCCAACATCATGAGCAACCAAACACCGGTAAGCACCATGCAAAACCAGCATCATGAGCATCAGCAGCGATAATTGCAACAGCAGGAATCACCAAACCCAGCAAGGACAAACGAGCATCAGCTGCAACAGTTTCCACAATCTCGGCTGCAACAGTCTGCTTGCCACATGTGATAGATTGCACACGCCGCCCCTTTCAAGAAACCCATCAGCATCAGATGCAAACTTCCATCCTACCATCATGAGCATCAGCTGCTTGCACACCCATGCGTGAAAACCCCAAGACAGCTCCGGTGTCGCTTTGCCTCACTATTCTTCCATGATAAGACAAGGAACCAAAGCACATCCAAGCTTGACCCGCTGAAACACCATACAAGACACTACACCGTACTATACAATACTACACCATACTATACCAAACTATACTATACCGTGCCATACTGCAGCATTATGACATACTATCCTACATTGGAGTTTCCAAAACTAGGGGATCCTAAAATAGTACCCTAAAAAGTAGGATCCTTATCGTCAGGACCCCCCAAAAACAAGGTACCCCCAATCTTCGGAGACCCCAAACCCTTATAGAGCCTTTTAAAGGAACCCTTATATAGTACCCTTACAGTAACCCTTTAAAGGAACCCTAAGGGAGCCGCAAAAGCAGAGCTCTGGGCAACAGCAACCAAGCAGCAAAACCTCAGAGTCCTCAAACTTGAGGTTTAGGGTTAGGGGTTTAGGGTTTAGAAGTTTAGGGTTTAGGGGTTTAGGGTTTGGGGGTTTAGGGGTTTAGGGCTTAGGGGTTTAGGGTTTGGGGGTTCAGGGGTTTAGGGTTTAGGGGTTTAGGGTTAGGGGTTTAGGGGTTTAGGGTTTGGGGGTTTAGGGTTTGGGGGTTTAGGGTTTGGGGGTTCAGGGGTTTAGGGTTTAGGGGTTTAGGGTTAGGGGTTTAGGGGTTTAGGGTTTGGGGGTTTAGGGTTTGGGGGTTTAGGGTTTAGGGTTTAGGGGTTTAGGGTTTAGGGGTTTAAGGTTTAGGAGTTTAGGGTTTAGGGTTTAAGGTTTTTGGAGCTTAGGGCTCCAAAACACTTTTCTGTGTTTCGCTGCACAAACCCGGCCGGGTTGTTTTCAGGTGGACCATTTGTTGGGGGGGGGAACACTGCCCGCTTAACCTCAGCGACCCCACTTGACTCGATTTAGCAATGCTGATTCACGGCTTAGGTTCGCAAAAAACCACCACCCTGATTTCACCAACCAACAGAAACCCAAACTTTCAACTTCATCCCAGCAAACCAACTAACTCCTCAGAAGACCCAAAACCCGACATGTCAAACCCTCAGGTCCATCATCGCGAAGAAATCTGTAGCGGGGGCGGCCATCGTCGTGGCAGGCGCCGCCATCGCGGTTCCCGGGTAGACGGTGCCTGGCACGGATCTTTCGTAGGAGGTCATGAGCCTTTCTCTCAGGCCTTAACAATTCCAGTTGGGTGTTGGGGAATGGAATACATCGTAATACAGCAAGTCCCATACGAACCCTAAAAAGTCATTGGAAATGATTCAGGCTTCTATGTAGTACACCCTCATTGGAGCTTCGGGTTAGAGGCCTCATGCTCCCGGCTTTTGGAGTGTTTGTGCAGACGCTGACTATAGAAGCCAAAATAGTTGCTAGTAATTATTATTAGGTAGTCGTTAAGGGTCCTTGTTACACCCATTGCAGAAGAACCCCAAATCCTAGTTATTTGAGTTTCCCACTTATTTACGGAGAATCAGGCTTTAATCTTGCCACTGCTTCTCTGTCACTCATGAAGCTAGCAGGTGCCCTAGCTTCGAACCATGGCCCTGTCCCGGATAGACGCTGATTGTAACAAAACAAAAGCATGCCGGAAACATCAGGGTGAATAGCAAAGGCTATCGCGGTGTATACTTACGAAAAAATGCCGTGATGGCGAATCCCGCCATTTGGCCAGATATGTTTATGTGATCCTTGTAGTAATCATCGCTGGGCTGTCAACACCCCGTGACAGCATCACCATCTGTCTGAAGCATCTCGTGGCCGTGAACGGACATCAATTGGCGATCTTGGCAGGTAAACTGCAGGGACTGTGAAAGCTGAACAGGGACAGCCACGACTGCAGTAATTCTTTCAGGGATCATGAGATGACAGCTGCAGCACCAATCGGACTGGCAAGCAAATCATACGATACTGTAGTATACTATACGAAACCATACATACTATACAGGAGTATACTAAACTCAAGTATGCTATACTGTAATATACTACTATTAGCGAAGGGGGCAACACACGATGGACATCACTGTAGACCTTCAATGCCTTCAACGGCTCTGGCTCCAGTTCGCGGATCGTGGATTTAGGGAGGAAAAACAGGGTAAGGAAAATGGGTTTAGGGTTTAGGGTACCCCGACAGAGCGTCGATGCATGCCTCCATCCTACGCTCCAATCCGTCGAAATCACAATTCAAGTATTCAGGTCGTGCCCTACTTAACCCATGACCTAAACTCTGTAATCCCTCGTCTAGTGAATCCTAATAGAGGGGCCTTAATAATTTTCCTATAGTATCTTGGGGGGTCCTTATTATAATTGTAGTTTATTGAGCCCCGAAGCCATGATTGAGGCCCCTTTCTAGTACCCTTATAGATCCCTTGTAGTATCCCCTATAGGCCGCTTTAAAGGAAGCCATATTCTAATTATCAAGGCCTCTTCAACCTCAACACGCGCCCCTGCGCCCAAGCTCGGAGGGGGCCTGGCATCATCATGGCGCCACCCTGGCAAGGTTCCATCTCCCCTAAACCCTAAGCCCTGAACCCCGAGCCCTAAACCCCCTAAACCCCCGAAACCCTAAGCCCTAAACCGTAAACCCTGAACCCCCTAAACCCTAAACCCTAAGCAATGAAACGTAAAACCTAAACCCTAAACCAATCAAGTCTTCAAGTCTCGACCGAAATGAACCGGGCCAGGGCGATTAATATAGAGGCCTGAATTCTTAAAACAGGGCGCATTATACTATACTGATAAGAAGGAACCCCCAAAACCGTGTAGATACTTATTAAGGCCCCATGATTATAGTACCCTTATAGTACTCCTTATAGACCCCTGTAAAGTAATTATTGTTAAGGCCCCTCTTTTACGGGATTATCTTCCAAAGGCTGGTTCAGGACTTTGGTCGTTTAAACTGAGCTATACAGGGCTCTACGCGATTCAGTAGAAGTTTCTTAAGGACGCTGCTTTTGGAAGACTATACTATTTTGGGGGTTCCGTATTGTAATTAAAGTATAATGGGCCACAAAACCTTTCTCTAATTATTAAAATGATTGGGCTTTTCGCAGATAGCGGTTGTGAACTGAGGGGAGACGCAGTCGAGTCTGATAGTCTGATAGTCACACTTCTCTTGATGACTTTTGCCCATAACTTGAGGGGATCATCCCTGATGCGTGTTTGCGTTGCTTGCTTAGTTGTCGCTGCCTTCATGGGGTCTGCATGTGGTGTTTGGTTGTCGTCGCTGTTGCTTTCAACCTGAATCGGCCTGCGCAAAATCAAAGCCGCATGCTCCCATTCCTAAAGCACCGACCTAGACAAGTATATCCTACCCTAAAGCCCCATAGTAGTTCCTTTTGGTGGTTCATATTTAGAATACACTCCAAACGCCTAATTGCTCGGAGCCCGGGCTGAAGAAACCTTGGAGAGGCCTGGATGGTAGTGGCCGGTGCGCCGTAGATTGCACCCGCCGGCATGCCGGTCTGTTGACAGAGAGGTATAGGGGTATAGGGTAGTGGTCAGGGTAAGGGTTTATAGGGCAGGGTTCAGGGTAGGGTTCGCGTATGTTGAGAGAGGGAGGGTTGCCGGTCTGTTGAGAGAGTGGGGGTTCGGGCGTTCATGTTGCCGGGCGTAGTCTAGGGCTCAGTACAATGAAACGGGTCAATAAAGAAGGCACCCGAAAGAGAACTAGAACACATAGCACTGTGAGGAAAAAGTTCTGTATGCGTAATTGGTATAAGGACGATGATCTATGCTCAGCCCAGCGGCACCTGGCAACACGAAAATGCTGTACCGCTGTCATCGTAGCAGCAGCAGCAGCAGCAGCAGCAGCAAACACATAAGCACAACAGGGGCTTCGGAGGTGTAGATACGGCAGCAGAGATGGTTGTCAGCGCAGGCGTAGTGCGTTCCATCGACATTCAAGGTTGGGGGATGTTGGGAGGTGGTAGGTTTGGCAAGGCGAGAAGGAGGCGGAGGAGCAGATGTAGCAGAGTAGCAAAAGACCAGCCGTCGTGGTCATAGAAACAACAGCCTGTAAGACAGGTAGTAAGGTACTATAGGGGCCTTAATAATTACCTCTACTATTTTTGGGGGGCTCTTTATTATAATTATACTATAATGGGCCTGAAAACCCTATTCTAATTATTAAGGCCCCCATAGTGGCGTTTCACTTTGGGCACACGTTCACTCTCCCCCGACTCCTACACTTCCTTTGTTTTACACAGCGGAATGTCATTCACCCATTCGGAATACCGACACTATGCCACATCCTCTGACAACAACAACAACAACAACAACAACAACAACAACAACAACAACACTATCGCAGCACTCAAGGTACAAGGAGTGAGACCAACACAAGTATTTCATGACACGGCAGCTGCAACTGTCATCAACCCAGCCTGCCTTGACTCGCCGGGCAAAGCAACCCCATGCTTCGTTTGCAACAGCTGAGATTCATTGCACTGAAGTAGCAGTAGTCGTCGTCGTAGTAGTAGTAGTAACTGAAAGGTACCCTCAACCCTAGCCTCCAAGCCTCTTTGAACAGACTATTCGCAGTGACCCGCCATTGGGCCATCTGGGAGTTTCCGAAAATAGGGGACCCTAATATAGTACCCTAAATAGTAGGATCCTTACTATAAGGACCCCCATATAAGGTACCCCCTATTTTCGGAAACTCCCATCTAAGCGTCACCTTGCCTCCTGAACCCTTCGCCCCCTAAGCCGGTACCTGGATGGTCGTGGCCGGGGCCCCATAGAGTGAAACGGGAGGCACACCGCCAGCCATCTGGGCAGCACCCTGAGTGGTTAGGGCTGAAGGGGTCTTAGGGGTGTTGGGAAGTTTGGGATTTGGGAGCTTGGTGTGTTGATCCCGGGTTTAGAGCTTCGTGCTTGGAAGGAATTAGGCTCGGGTGCAGGCAGAGCGTTTGGCTTTGAGGTCTAGCCGTGGGGACGATGGAACCACGCCTTTTGCGGCCTGACAAGTTCGTACCACCATAACAATCCACACCCAAGAACTGATCCGATTCAACACTACGTGTCAAAGCAAAGCCACAAAAACTCTAAAGACGACGCTTCCCCCCCGGCTCCCCACAGCCTCCGCTGGTGCGGTGATGGGAGGCAGGTAGACGGGCTCACCGATGGTGGTGGTCGTTGGCATCTGCAGGCTTCTGGTTGTTGCCCTAGATGGATTTGTTTCATCGGTCTTGTACCGATTTCGTAAAGGTCATTATCAAAGTTGAGGGGCTTTGTTCGACGCAAGTTTGGGATATAGTGAGGTTTGGGCGGGCGCAGAGCTACTACACCCTCAACCCTATGCCCCTACGCCCCTTGACTCGAAACCCTAAACCCCTAAACCCTAAAACCCTGAACCCTAAACCCTAAACCCGAAACCCCTAAGCCCCTAGACGTGAAACCCACAGTAGAAGCATCTTCGGAGGCGGGCCGGAGGGACTCAGGAAACTTCTCAATCATCTTGTTCGGTTTAGGGTTTAGGGCTTAGGGTTTCAGGTTTACAGTTTAGGGTTTAGGGTTTAGAGTTTAGGGTTTGGGTTTAGGCTTAGGGTTTAGGTTTAGGGTTTAGGGTTTAGAGTTTAGGGTTCAGGGTTTACGGTTTAGAGTTTAGGGTCTGGGATTTAGAGTTTAGGGTTTAGGGTTTAGAGTTTAGGGTAAGGTGCAGGGCTCTACTTGGACGTTCATGGTACCTAGAGTAAGTACAGTTATAGGTACCCTGACTGCAGATATAAGTAGTTATATGTCTGGTTACCTCATACATAAACCTAATTACAAGATGCCATGAACCTTTAAGTGGGGCTTTAGGGTAGTTTGGGTTTAGGAGAAAGGAAATGTGGTCGTGCATACTGATGTTCCAACCACTCAAAACTGAGCTACATCCAAAATATCGGCCCTAAACCCTATATGGGTGGTTGCCAAAATTAGGGTCCCCTTTTGGGTACCCTAAATAATAGGTGCCGTATTACATGAAGGACTCAAAAAGGGACCCTAATTGTGACAACCGCCCATATAAGAGTCTCGAAACCCTGCCTAAGACTTCTTAAACCATATACGCTGAAAGGACCAACCACGGAACCTTTAAAGGAACTGCAGAAATCCTTTACACGAACGCTTAACTTAAGGGAAACCCTGAACTCTAAAGCTCTCCCCCTAGATCCTAAACCCAAACTGGGTGGGCCACAGGCCCAGGGCGAAAAATATTAGTCGATTTGAAGCCGCCGCAGCCCAGCCTTGCTAGGGTCCTTCGCATCTGCAGGCGTGAACAAGCAGGCCCCACGACATCGGGCTTCGAGTAGAAGCGCTCGTTGCGCCGACGTCGGACATTGACTGCATCGGCCTTCTCTTTCGAAAGGCTTGTGCGCCTTGCGAATCTGGCTAATCCGCCAGTGAGCACACGAGGCTGCTGCTTGGGTCCGGAACAAGCGTCTTTCTCGGACAAACCTGGAATCACAGTTTTTGTCGGCTAGAAGGCAGCGAAGTATCTGCTCCTTTCCTTCGCAGCGCAGCTAGCTGTCTCAGGTGGAGCCCAGTCAGTGTGGCTTTCTTGGCTTTCACTTCTTCGGACTCTTATAGTATGATCCTTAATATGATTTAAGGAATATTCCTTAATTAAGGAACATTGGAGTCTCTAGGAAGGCTGAACCCAACATCTGCCCTGTCGCCTGCTGCATTGGCGTGGCGTACATGGCGCCCTGGACGACGGGGTAAGGTTTGGGGGTTTAGGGGTTTTGGGGGTTTTGGGGTTGCAGGGGTTTTAGGGTTTCGGAATCAGGGTCTAGTGAAACTTAGAGGGCTTAGGCTTTCGGATTTATCGAGGCTCGGGTTTCGGTTTTGGGGGGTCTCAAAAAACAGTCATGTTGAAAAATAAACCCTGAAACGTGGCGTTTTGATGGATCCGCGAGGGAACTCTTGGAAGGAAATCTGGACAGAAGTAGCATGGTATAATTGTAAGTACTGCTATCAGGGGTTACTATGAGGCATTTAACATCTTGAGTAATTAGGGTTTCGGGGTGCATTATAATATAGCTATTTTCGGGGATATCAGAGGGTTACTGATACCAACTATTCCAACCCCGTATATTGTGGAAACTTGCGCGAAGGACCCGGCACCTTCTTTAAGAAACGCAGGATCTCATTTGCTAGATTCACCGTGGTTCTTCTGGAATTCCACATGCTGATGAAGATACACCCGACAAGCTAGCGCCTAAACCTGAGACCCCGGAATGCTATTTAGCTATGAAGGGATTCCGGGGTTTTGTGTCTTGCGATGTTCCATCCTCCTCTCCCGCTGATCTGTCGATTTATCTATCTATCTATCTACCTATCTATGTATCTAGCCAATTATCTATCTACCTATCTAGCTATCTATCTAATTATCTGTTGATCTATCTATCCATCTATGTATCTATCTAACTATCTATTGATCTATCTATCTATCTACTTCTCTGTCGATCAGCAGCGTACACACAAGGGCCAGAGGCTCATGTAGAGGACGTGTCCCAAACCCTGCGGTTTAGGGTTTAGGGGTTTGGGGTCTAGGGTTTAGGGTTTTGGGTTTAGGGCTTAGGGCGCACAGTATACCCCAAACCCTGCTCTAACGATATGGCCCCTGATGTAGGAACCTGATTAAGAAACCCTGGGCCTATAACCGCCAAATAATTCAAATAATAGAATTAATATTAAAAAACCCTAGAAGGAACCGAGGTTTCTTAATTAATCCGGTTCCTACATTATCTTAAACTTGTAGTAACCCTTGCAGAACCGATTATTGAAGTTTAAAGAAGCCTCTTCTAAGTACTGAGGCCCCGAGGTTAAACCCGAAGCTGCAACCTGCCACCCGATGCTTTAAAGGGAACTCCAGAAAGTTGGAACATGGTTTCAGGGTAGGATACCTTATAATCTACCATGAAGGGTTTAGGATAATCATATTCCAACTTTCTGGCTTTTACTTTAGCCTCTCCGAGGTTTTGAACTTGAGTTGGGTTGTTTAGGCTCAGGGTTTTGGATTAGGGTGAAATCGTTCGGTTTCTGGTTTAGGGTTTTCAGATCTACCCTACAAGCCCGAACGACTAACAGCAAGTGGCCACCTGTGTCGGCGGCGCGCCGTACATGGTAGCAGGGGCCATCTGCGCTGCTCCCTGCAGTATTGCGGTGCCCGGAACGAACCATGCATGAACTGTACTAACCCTAGAATGCCGGCTCTGACGCCTGAACCCCAAACCCGAAACCCCAAACTCTAGACCCTGAACCCTCATCGCATTAGCTCTACATCGCTGGCTCTGAACTGCCGGCCTGAATGTAATATAGGGGCCTTCATAATTAGAAAAGGGTTTTGGGGCATATTGTACTACAACTATAAGGAACCCCCAAATAGTATTTGTCATTATCTAGGCCCCTATAGTATATGAGCATATCGTGCCCGTACACGACCCTGCAAGCGAATTCGGGGTGCGGAAGCAAGGAAAAGGGTGTTTTGATTTATGGCAGTTATGGGATATTAATTAAGGCGATTCATGCATAGCTTCGGATGTAGCAGACAGCTAGTCTGCGACTTGCAAGTAGCGCAGATCCTCATGCAGACCTTAATTAACCGCAAACCCCACCCTAAACCCTAAACCCCTAAACCCTATAAACCCTAAACCCCTAAACCCCTGAACCCCAAACCCTAAGCCCTAAACTCTAAGCCTAAGCCCTGATCGCTCAGAAACTCAGACCATGATCCCGAGGCTGAAAGATTCTGGGAGTCCGAGTCCAAGATCCTGCCAAGCGCTACTATAAGGGCTTTAATACTAAGCACAACAAAAAAAGGGCCTTAATAATAATAAGCATAACTATAAGGGCCTTAATAATACGCATGACTGACTATAATCAGGAGCCTTAATAATGAGCATAATTGTAAGGGCTTTAAGAAGAAGCATAACTATAAGGGGACGACAAGGGCTTTATTAATTGGAATAGGGTTTTGGGAGATGTTGTAGCATAACTGCAACAAGCGACTTGATGGAACAGTGTAGGTAATGTTTGCCTAATGGCTCAGGCTTCTAGGCGACGACCCAAACCTTGCATTTGCCCAGCCTCAGCCGGCGCCGTGATCGGAGGCAGGTAGACCGGCTCGCCGATGGTAGTTGTGGCCGGCACCTGTGATCATGATAACGAGCATGGTGCTGAAAACACTGCACTTCTGATGAATAGCGACTGTCTCCTGAAGCTATTTTGAGTTGTCATTGTTATTGCTGTTCTCTTTGATATGACGGGTTTGGAGAATATACCATAGCTGTCAAAACTCTGGCTGTGAACGGATTAGCCGAGTTTGCCTAGGCAGCTGGGGTTACCCTCAATACCCTCAACAACCCCACTGCAAAACTAGCTTCTAGGCGTGCCACGTGATCTCTGAGATGCAAGAACCCCAAATGGGAGTTTGGACCCTAATATAGTACCCTAAAACTAGGATCCTCATTATAAGGACCCCAACTAAGGCACCCCTAATTTTCGGAAACTCCCGAAATCTAAAATCGCGGTACGTGACATATCAGCCGAGGATCTGCAACACTGAACCAGGCGAGAGGAACTGACAACATCCTTACCCTAAACCCTAGGCCCTGAACCGTAAACCCTAGACCCTAAACCCTAAACCCTAAACTTTAAACTCTAAACCCTAGACTTTAAACCCTAAACCTAAACCCTAACTAAACCCTAGACTTTAAACCCTAAACCCAAACCCTAAACCCTAAACCCTCAAGATAGACATAGCCTGGGGCATGGGAGCCGCGTACATGGTGGCTGGTTCCTGGCCCAGAGACCCCGATGTCCCTTAAGTTAAGGGATCTATAGGGTCTACTTGGAAGGGCAGGGGACTTAGTAAGTAGGTTATAAGAATTATAACTCTACTTATAACCTACTTACTAAGTCCCCTGCCCTTCCAAGTAAGTTAAGGGATCTATAGGGTCTATAGGGTTCCTCTTAAGGGATCCATAGGGTTCAGGGTTTCCGGGTTCTGCAGGGACTCCAATATCCCTCAATTCAGGAATGTTCCTTCAATCATAATACGGATCGGACTACAATTTGAAGTCTGTTCCTTGATTCCCTTATAGAACCCATTAAGGAACCCAAAAAAAATCCCTGTAAGGAACCCTCAGGGACATATTCCTCACTTAAGGGATATTGGAGTCTCTGGGGATGTACCGTTGGGTTATGTTTTAGGGTGGATTACACTTGAGGGCGGCCGAGTAGTCTGGTTTTGGGACTCCAATATCCCTGGAATATGTCCCTCAGGGTTCCTGAAAGGGATCTATAACGGCTCCTTAATGGGTTCTATAAGGGAATAGGGGAGTGCTAGGTTTAGGCTTTATGGCGCAGGGGTCAAGTTTAGGACATTCTCGTGGTTGCTCATGCTTCACGAAATTCTGAAACTGCCCCAGCCCGAAGAAAGAAGCTACATGTCCGAAGCGAAGATGCCTATTTCTCATACACGCTTTCTTCTTACTACCTCGAAACAAGCAGAGCTCCTGAAAAAAGTGACGAGGCATAGAAGCTTCCGAGAGTAAGTAACACCTACTCCAGACCCACTCGGCAGTATAATTGAACTGACAACACCTCCCAGAACAAAGACTCTGTCAGCAGGAAATTACCCGAAGGTCCAATAACTAACTAACATCCCACGAACCACTCTTCCTTTGAACAGCCTTTTCAGATGTCTTTGATTTGCGAGTTTCCGAATTTAGGGGACTCGAATATCGACCCCAATTCACGACAATCCCCTTTTAAGAATCCCCCACAAAGGGACCCCCTAATTATGGAAGCCCCCACATAATAAGAACACCCAGAAGCCCTGATCCCCCTCAACACCAAAACCCTCAAGCGCCCTGACCCGACACCCTTGACCATAAAACCCTGAAGCCTTAATCCCAACTCCCTACACATCCCTATATGGTGGTTTCCGAAAACAGGCGACTCTAATACAGTACCCTAAATAGTAGGATCCTTGTTACAAGGACCCCAAAATGAGGTACTCCCTATTTTTTGGAAACTCCCATATGCCTGTGTGGCTGGAGCATAAGTAGCGATCGGGGGCGCCATTTGCGCAGCACCCTCAGATTCTCGTGCATAGGGTTTCGGGTTTAGGGTTTACCCAGACCCCCGGGAGGATCCAAAAGTAGATCCCTTAATGGGGGTAGATCCTCCCGGAGGTCTGGGTAGGGGTTTCGGATAGTCTTACATGTGGGTGGTTGTCAAAATTAGGGTCCCTTTTTGGGTCCCTATTATGATACGGCACCTATTATTTAGGGTACCCAAAAAGGGACCCTAATTTTGATAACTACCCATGTGGAGCTTCGGGTTCAGAGCTTAGGATTGCGGCTCGGATGTTGCGACGATGGGTTTGGAGGATGTGGGGTTTAGGATATTTGACTTTAGGGCTTAGGGTTTTGAACTTAAGGCCTGGGATGAGGGCTTCGGAGGCACTTTATTATGTATAATCGTAGTTGCACTTGTGAGGAATAGCATTGAAGGCGCGAACAGTTGGGCTGTAGTTTCCTTAGAAAGCGAACGTTACTCACTCTATTACTAAGTATAAGAGTCATGATAGACCAAGGTCTACGGACGTGGCTCCTAAGACTTTATAAAAGCTCGAGACTACGAAAGAAATTGCAGGTTGAAGGTGAAGGAGCTTAGCCTAAACAGCCTAAACCCTGAAAGCCCTAAGCCCAGAGCCCTTGCTCCCACACCTTAAACCGCCCATGCCTAAAACCCTTAAACCATGAACCCCTAAACCATACACTCCCAAACCATAGACCCGCAAAACCTTGCTGTAGCGCCCTTATCGGATCCATGTATCGAGCCCAACCCTCAGACCCCCCAAAAAAACAATTTTGGCGCCTTTGCTGGTTGCTTGATCAACACAGGCTGGAAGGTCTGTGGCTTCCAAACCACGAGTTTCACTCAAGGCTTCGAGGTTTAGGGTTCTATAGGGCTCCTTTAAGGGATCTTTAGCTTTCCTTTAAGGGATCTATGGTAAGTTGCACCAGGGTTTAGGGTTTAGGGCTTAGTTTAAAGGTTGAGGTTTGGGGTTTAGGGTCTCGAAGGTTCATGGCTCCAGATTTCGGGGGGTTTGACGCTTCAGACTTAAGCCGGTTCTGGCTCTATCAGACACCAGAAGCTCGTCGAGCTGGCAAGGCTTTCGGCGTTTGGGGTTATGGGTGTAGCGCCGTTTAGGATTTGGGGTTTGGGGTTCAGGGTGTAGTTGTGGGATTAGGGTCGTTTGGTAACTTGTGGGCTGTACAAGGCTTTGTTGGTTTGTGACGGTGCTGAGCGCTGGGAAAAAAAGGTACAAGCTGCACGTACCTTAAACTCTAAGCCCCTAAACACTAAACCCCAAACCGAATTCGCTCCAGAAGGACTCTAAGCTCAATTTGTTCACTGAGTCAGGACCTTGCGCTCATGCCAAGATCTATTCTAGGTTCCTCGATAACCCCTTAGTAGTAAGGGGACCCTTTTTCCCAAAATTCAGTCATCATAAGGAGGCCCCAAGCTAAAAGTACGTACTACTCAGGAACCTAGTTTATATTGAAAACCATGATTGCACTACCGGCCTCGGCCGGCGCGGTAATCGGCGGCAGGTACACCGTCTCGCCGACAGTGGTCTGCCCATTCAGGGGTTCATAAGGGTTCAGTGTTTAGGGTTTAGGGTTTGGGAGCTCACAAGGGTTCAATGCTTAGAGATTAGAGTTTGAATGCCTTCTCCTCAACAATGAACGTATGTAGTTCCAAGCTCGACAAGCACAAACCGTAAAGTCCGAAATGGAAGCAGGAAAGGGAAGCAGAGTCGTGCTAGCTGTGGCAAGCAACACCATCACAATCATCTTCTCTGCATCACTGCTTGCAGGATCATGAGACTTCATAGTTTACTTCTAGCCCTTTCTCAGGTACTTATAACCTTATCTACGGATGCAAAATTATCTGAAGCTTCTTTGTTTGGTTGTGGATGTATTTTGTTTTTGTGCGTTTGCTTGGCCTGAGGGTACGGGAGGGAGGGAGGGTCGGAGGGAGGGAAGGGTTTTTGTGAGTTTTTTCCCTAGAGGAAACAATTCCCTCAGATTTTGGACGGATTTGGTGCTATTCCCCCAAGATTTTTCCTCAGGAAAACCTACGCTACATCAAGGAAAGTTCACGTTACCTTGGTTTTCCTAGGGAAACGACAGTTTTCCTTGTTCTTGTTGTTGTTGTTGCTGTTACTGGTACCGTCAATGTTATTGTTATTCTTCTGCTTGTGGTTGCTGTTAGCCTCACTAATCTCTTTTTGTGAATATGTATTATTGCACGATTCATGTAATTGATACTTATGGATTTTTTGTTGTTATTATTATGATTACTATTATTAATGTTGCTGTTGTTGTTGCTATTGTTATCGTTGTAGTTGTTGTTTCTGTTGTCGTCATTGTTATTGCTGTTGTTGTTGTTGCTGCTCTTATTCTTCTTATTATTATTCTTATTACGTTTGTTATTGTTGTTGTTATTGTTACTGTTGTCGTGTTCGTCATTGTTGTTGTTGCCGCTGCTTTTTGTTGCTTTGTCACTGCTTTTGTCGGTGTTGTTGTTGTTGCCGTTGTTGTTGTTGCTTTTGCTACTACCCTAGTTGTAGGAGAGCTTAAAGACAGCAGCATGGTTTGCAGTTAAGAAAAGCGGCGGGGTAAGGGGGAGGGAGAAAGCAGCAAAGTTTGCAGTTTAGAAAAAGCGGGGGGGGAGTGTGGCTTAAACCGGGTCTATTTGGCAGCTGGATGTGTGTGCGTTGGCAGGACTCCAGAAACTAGCTGCCAAATAGACCCTATATGGTGTTCCAGTGTTCCTGGACCCCGGGAATTAAATAATTTAGATCCGGAGGTTTAATTCCCGGCCCGAATTAATTAATTTAATATAATTTAAATCCGGAGGCCCCCCCCCCAATATTTAAATTATTTAAATTATTTAATTCCCATTCCGAATTAAATAATTTAAATAATTTAAATAATTTAAATGATTTAAATCCTGGGGAGGGGGTCTGGCAGGGGTCCGGGAGCCCGGGAATTAAATAATTTAAATCCGGAGCCCTCCCCCAACATTTAAATTATTTAAGTTATTTAATTCCCGGGCTCCCGGACCCCCCCGGGACCCTCCCCCAAGGATTTAAATTATTTAAAATATTTAAAGTATTTAATTCCCGGCCCGAATTAAATAATTTAAATAATTTAAATCCGGAGGTCCCCCTCCAATATTTAAATTATTTAAATTATTTAATTCCCGGCCCGAATTAAATAATTTAAATAATTTAAATAATTTAAATCCTGGGGAGGGGGTCTAGGGGGGGGTCCGGGAGCCCGGGAATTAAATAATTTAAATCCGGAGCCCTCCCCCAATATTTAAATTATTTAAATTATTTAATTCCCGGGCTCCCGGACCCCCCCCGGGACCCTCCCCCAGGATTTAATCTTTTTAAATTATTTAAATTATCTAAATTATTTAATTCCCGGCCCGAATTAAATAATTTAAATAATTTAAATAATTTAAATCCTGGGGAGGGGGTCTGGGGGGGGGGTCCGGGAGCCCGGGAATTAAATAATTTAAATCCGGAGCCCTCCCCCAATATTTAAATTATTTAAATTATTTAATTCCCGGGCTCCCGGACCCCCCCCGGGACCCTCCCCCAGGATTTAAATTATTTAAATTATTTAAATTATTTAAATTACTTAAATTATTTAATTCCCGGCCCGAATTAAATAATTTAAATAATTTAAATAATTTAAATAATTTAAATCCTGGGGAGGGGGTCTGGGGGGGGGGGTCCGGGAGCCCGGGAATTAAATAATTTAAATCCGGAGCCCTCCCCCAATATCTAAATTATTTAAATTATTTAATTCCCGGGCTCCCGGACCCCCCCCGGGACCCTCCCCCAGGATTTAAATCATTTGAATTATTTAAATTATTTAAATTATTTAATTCCCGTCCCGAATTAAATAATCTAAATAATTTAAATACTTTAAATCCTGGGGAGGGGGTCTGGGGGGGGTCCGGGTGCCCGGGAATTAAATAATTTAAATCCGGAGCCCTCCCCCAATATTTAAATTATGTAAATGATTTAATTCCCGGGCTCCCGGACCCCCCCCCCGGGACCCTCCCCCAGGATTTAAATTATTTAAATTATTTAAATTATTTAAATTATTTAATTCCCGGCCCGAATTAAATAATTCAAATAATTTAAATAATTACATAATTTAAATCCTGGGGATACCTCCCAAACACCCTCCCGCCACCCTCTCACCCACCAGTTGAAGGGCTAGGGATCCCAGACATCTGCGGGCAAAATCTGGCGGAAGTGATCCGCCACCGAGCAAAAAGCCTGTAAATACCGCATTAAACAAAAGGCCCAGGGATTTCGCACATCTGTTGGCAAAATCTGGCGGAAGTACCGACTGCTCACTTCCGCCAGATTTTGCCAACAGGTGTGTGAAATCCCTGGCCCTTTGTTTAATGCGGTATTTACAGGCTTCTTGTTCGGTGGCGGATCACTTCCGCCAGATTTTGCCCGCAGATGTGTGGGATCCCTGGCCGTTGTTTTAACGCGGTATTTACAGGCTTTCTGCTCGGTCGCGGCTCGCAGGGATTAGGGGGACACCCCTTGCGCTCTGCCACCCCACCTACCCTCCCTCACCCACCCCTGCCACCCACCGACCCTCAGCGCCCACCCAGCGTCCCAACCCACCCCCACCCACCCTTCCTCCCACTTCGCACTCCCTCCACCTCCTGCCCACCCTACCTCCCAAACACCCTCCCACCACCCTCTCACTCACCACTTCAACGGCCAGGGATCCCACACATCTGCGGGCAAAATCTGGCGGAAGTGATCCGCCACCGAGCGAAAAGCCTGTAAATACCGCATTAAACAAAGGGCCAGGGATTTCACACATCTGTTGGCAAAATCTGGCGGAAGTGAGCAGTCGGTACTTCCGCCAGATTTTGCCAACAGATGTGTGAAATCCCTAGCCCTTTGTTTAATGCGGTATTTACAGCCTTTTTTCTCGGTGGCGGATCACTTCCGCCAGATTTTGCCCGCAGATGTGTGGGATCCCTGGCCGTTGTTTTAACGCGGTATTTACAGGCTTTCTGCTCGGTCGCGGCTCGCAGGGATTAGGGGGACACCCCTTGCGCTCTGTGGTTTTCTGATCTGAGTTTTCACAAGACCTTAGGGGGACACCACTTGCGATCTGTGATTTTGGGATCTGAGTTCTTACACAACTTGCGATTTGTGATTTTGGAACTTATTTGTTATAAACACATTTAGGGGGACACCGCTTGCATGCGATCTGTGGTTTTCGGATCTGAGTTTTCACAAAACCTGAAGGGGACACCCCTTGCGATCTGTGATTTTGGGATCTGAGTTCTTACACAACCTTAGGGGGACACCCCTTGCCAGCTGTGATTTCGGGACCTGAGTTCTTCCAAAACCTTAGGAGGGACACCCCTTGCGATTTGTGATTTTGGAACTTATTTGATATAAAAACCTTCAGGGGGACACCCCTTGCGATCTGTGTTTTGCGGATCTGAGTTTTCACAAAACCTTACGATCGGTGATTTTGGGATCGGCGCTTTTTCAAAACCTAAGGGGACATTCCTTGCGATTTGTCATGTTGGGATCTAGCTTGCGTGAAAGCCTTTAGGGAGACATCCCTTGCGATTTGTTATTTCGGGATCTACTTTAGCGCAAAAGCCTTTAGGAGACACCCCTTGCGATATGTGATTTTGGAACTTATTTGTTATAACAACCTTTAGGGGGACACCACTTGCGATCTGTGGTTTTCGGTTCTGAGTTTTCACAAAACCTTAGGGAGACACTCCTTGCGATTTGTGGTTTTGGAATTCATTTGTTATAAAAAGCTTTAGGGAGACACCCCTTGCGATTTATTGTTTTGGAACTTGTTGTTTCAACGAACCCTTGGGGGGACACCCCTTGCGATCTGGGTTTTTGGGATCTGAGTCTGTACAAATCTTGGGGCGACACCCTTGTGATCTGTGATTTTATTTGTGTTTTTGCAGAACTTCAAGGAAAAACAAATCTTGCCGACGCAGGGGTAGATGGAGCTCTCTTGTTTTTCGTGAAGTTGAAGGGGCCTGTCTGCTGTGCTGAGATGGACCTCTCTCCCGTCTCATTACATGGGAGGAAGCTCTCAATCATTTCTTGTGGAGGATGAAGTAGAAGACTTTTCTTTTTGGAAGCAAGGGGAGCCCTGGCTTCTCTTGCTAGGAGCGAAGTCTCTTCAATCTTCTTAAGATAAAAGCGACTTACCAAGTGGTAAAGGCCCTCTCTGCTCAAATAAAGCTCTCGTGGCTTACCAAGAATAACTTGGAGTGAGCTCTCTTCCTGCTTCACAGCAGGGTAAGGTAGAGGGCTTGGGCTTCTCGTTTCGTTTTGAAGGCCACGGGGAGGACCGGCGTTTTTCTTGTCAAGGATTGAAATTTGGAAAAGCTCTATCCTTCCTTCCTGATCGTAAGCTCCTTTCCAAGTTTTTTTCTCGAGGAGGAGATGTTCAGGAGCTGTCGCTCCTGACGAACAGAGAAAGAAGTTTTCTTCTTATCGCCAGGGAGGCAGTCGGAGCTCCCTTCTTTCTCGTGATGCGTTGTTCTTTTGCCACGAACAACCTTTGGGGACTGTTTTCTTGCTTTGGAGCATGAGGTCTTTTCTTTTGAAGGCTGGCGACTGAGAAAGGTATAAGAAATCTCCTCTAGAGAAATCTGCTCTTGCCAAGAATAACCTAGAGTGAGAACGCTCTGTCCTCACCTCTTGAGAGATATCTCTCTTCTGTCCCTTGGAGAGGAAGTGGTGGCGACATGGAGAAGTTAGAAGGGTTTCTTTCTTGATTCAGAGGGTGGGGTAGAGGGCTGCTCATGTCTTGTTGAAGGATGAGGGGAGGATCAGATTCTTCTTTTGAAAATTGAGCGAGCTCTGTCCTCACTTCTTGAAAGCTATCCCTCTTCTATCCCTTGAAGAGGAAGAGGGGACGACAAGGAGCTCCTCTCTCTTCTTGTCGACTAAGAGGCAGCCGCAGTTCTTATTGAAACTGGAGATGCGTTGAGCCTTGTCTTCTTCGACTAGAAGCGAGCTCCCTTCAATTCTCTTCAGAGGAGATGGAGACCTACCAAGCGAGAGAGGAGCTCGCTGCTAGAAATCAGCTGAATGACTTGGAGGGGCTCTCTCCGTGTTTTCGTTGAGGGGTGGGGGAATCTCCGCCCTTTCTTCTTGAGCGCATGCTGTTTTCCATCTTTTGAAAACGTAAGGGAAGTAATCAGGATCTCTTTCCACTGCCAAGAGAGAAAGGAGGTTTCTTCTTCTTGTGCGTATGCTGTTTCCATCTTTTGAAAAGGTAAAAGAAATGCTCAAGATCCAACCCCATATGAAGAGAGAAAGGAGTTATCTTCTTTTCGACCGATGGGTAAACGGAGACCTTTGAATTCTCGTGAAGTTGGAGGGGCCTGTCTGCTGGGCTGAGATGAAGCTCTCTTGCGTCTCATTACATGGGAGGAAGCTCTCAGTGATTTCTTGTGGAGGATGAGGTAGAAAATCTTTCGTTTTGGAAGCTAGGGGAGCTCTGTCCTTTCTTGCTAGGAGCGAGGTCTCTTCAATCTTCTTAAAACGAATTGGCGACATACCAAGAGGTAACAAGGCTCTCTGCTAGAAGGATGCTCTCTTCTGTTGCCACGAATATCCTGGGGGCTCTCTTCTTGTTTTGGAGCATGAGGTCATTTCCTTTTGAAGGCTGAGGGACGACCAGATGTCTTTGTTTGAATATTAGGGGGAGCTCCACCCTTTCTTCTTGAGTTGGGGGGGAGCTCCACCCTTTCTTCTTGAGTGTATGCTCTCTTACATTTTTAAAACGGCGACGGAAATAATCAGGATCCCCTCCCCTTATCAGGAAAGAAAGGAGGTCTCTTCTTGCCGAAGGGTAAACGGTGCCCTCTTCTTTCTCATGAAGTTGGAGCGGCCTGTTTGCTTTGTTGAGATGGCGCTTTCTTTTGTCCCATTAGTTTGGAGGAAGCTCTCAGTCTCTTCTTGTCGAGGATGAGGCAGAGGATTTGTCTTTTTGGAAGCTAATTCAGAGCATGGGATAGAGGGCTGCTCATGTCTTGTTGAAGGATGAGGGGAGGATCAGATTCTTCTTTTGAAAATTGAGCGAGCTCTGTCCTCACTTCTTGAAAGCTATCCCTCTTCTATCCCTTGAAGAGGAAGAGGGGACGACAAGGAGCTCCTCTCTCTTCTTGTCGACTAAGAGGCAGCCGCAGTTCTTATTGAAACTGGAGATGCGTTGAGCCTTGTCTTCTTCGACTAGAAGCGAGCTCCCTTCAATTCTCTTCAGAGGAGATGGAGACCTACCAAGCGAGAGAGGAGCTCGCTGCTAGAAATCAGCTGAATGACTTGGAGGGGCTCTCTCCGTGTTTTCGTTGAGGGGTGGGGGAATCTCCGCCCTTTCTTCTTGAGCGCATGCTGTTTTCCATCTTTTGAAAACGTAAGGGAAGTAATCAGGATCTCTTTCCACTGCCAAGAGAGAAAGGAGGTTTCTTCTTCTTGTGCGTATGCTGTTTTCCATCTTTTGAAAAGGTAAAAGAAATGCTCAAGATCCAACCCCTTATGAAGAGAGAAACGAGTTATCTTCTTTTCGACCGATGGGTAAACGGAGACCTTTGCATTCTCGTGAAGTTGGAGGGGCCTGTCTGCTGGGCTGGGATGAAGCTCTCTTGCGTCTCATTACATGGGAGGAAGCTCTCAGTGATTTCTTGTGGAGGATGAGGTAGAAAATCTTTCGTTTTGGAAGCTAGGGGAGCTCTGTCCTTTCTTGCTAGGAGCGAGGTCTCTTCAATCTTCTTAAGACGAAAAGGCGACATACCAAGAGGTAAAAAGGCTCTCTGCTAGAAGGATGCTCTCCTGTTGCCACGAATATCCTGGGGACTCTCTTCTTGTTTTGGAGCATGAGGTCATTTCCTTTTGAAGGCTGAGGGACGACCAGATGTCTTTATTTGAAAATTAGGGGGAGCTCCACCCTTTCTTCTTGAGTTGGGGGGAGCTCCACCCTTTCTTCTTGAGTGTATGCTCTCTTCCGTTTTTAAAACGGCGACGGAAATAATCAGGATCCCCTCCCCTTATCAGGAAAGAAAGGAGGTCTCTTCTTGCGATTGCTCTCAGTCTCTTCTTGTCGAGGATGAGGCAGAGGAGTTTTTTGGAAGCTAATTCAGAGGATGGGGTAGAGGGCTGCTCATGTCTTGTTGAAGGCTAGGGGGAGGATCAGACTCTTCTTTTGAAGATTGAGACAGCTCAGTCCTCACTTCTTGAAACTATCTCTCTTCTATCCCTTGAAGAGGAAGAGGAGACGACAAGGAGCTCCTCTCTCTTCTTGTCGACTGAGAGGCAGCCGGAGTTCTTTTTTTCGCGTGAAGTTGGAAGGGTTCTCTGCTCCTTTGAGATGCTGCGGTAGAGGATGTGCCAAGGGATCTCTTCCTTACCCTTTTGGGGAAAAGAAGCTCATCTCTTGGGGGATGACGAAGCAGCGAGCTCCCTTCATGTATCGTCAGAGGAGATGGAGACTTACCAAGAGGTAGAGGAGCTCGCTGCTAGAAATCAGCTGAATGACTTGGAGGGACTTTCTCCGTGTTTTCGTTGAGAGGTGCGGGAATCTCCACCCTTTCTTGAGCCGTCTGTCTACATTCCAAGGGAGTCGTGGACATTCTGTTTGGTTAAACATTACATTAACACGAACCTTGGGCGCAAGTGGCCGCCGCTTGTATGTCGCAGTGTAATACGCAGCTAGGCGCCACGAGAGTGCAGACATTTTCAACGATCAATTATGCACGCATGGAGTCTGTGCCTACGTCACCTGTGTCATGGCGTGGTCGGTGGTGATGAGAATAAGCACTACTTGTATGCAAAAACACAGCCATCCAGCTGCCAAATAGACCCTATTTAAGCCGGCCACGGGGGGGGGGGGGGGGGGGCCGGGGGGCCAGTTTGCAAACCTTCCAAAAAAACTTCGTTCTTTGCGTTTACCAGCTAAAGCGATTTCGTGTGGCTTCTCCATCTCGTGTGTTGGAGAAGACGCGTTTACTTATGTATTCGTTTTACAAAGGAGACTCTTTTCACTTTACTTTGTTTTCTGGCTTTTTTACTCCCCAGAGAACAAAAAGGGCTTTCGCCTTGCTGTCTGTCGGTGAAGACGCTTCATTCATGATTGTTCTTGTCTTCGCTTTAACCCCCTAAGATTTTTCGTGTGGCCTTCTCCTTGTGTGTTGGAGAAGAAGCATTTATTCATTTCTCCATGGCTTAAGAGAGCGGGGGGAGGGGGGGTTGGGGAGGGGCGCAGCCTCTCCCATTTGCAACGAGGCTTCGAAGGGGATTTCGCAAGGGATTTCCTCTTGCGTGTTGGAGAGGATGCTTTTATTCTTTTAGAAAGATTTTCGGTAATACGTAGTACGAAAGCAAAGCGTTAAAGCAGAGCAGCGGAGAAGCCTAAAAGCGGAAAAGCAAAGGAAAGCAAAGGCAGAGGAAAGCAATCAACAAGAAAAAGCAAGCAATCAAAGCAGTGAAGAGCAGCAAGCGATGACTTAAAAAGAGAAAAGCGAAGCAGACAATCAGAGAAGCAGAAAAGCAGAGAAGCAAGAGAAACAGAAAAACAAAGAAGCAGAAAAGTAGAGAAGCAAAAAAGCAGAGAAAAGCAAAAGCAGAGGAAAGCAGAAGCACAGAACAAAAAACAAAAAAACTAATGCAAGGAAGAGCTGCAAACAAAAACTTAAAAAAAGAGAAGCCAAGCAGACAATGAGAGAAGCAGCAGCAGAAAAGCAGAGAAGCAAGAGAAGCAGAAAAGCAGAGAAGCACAAAAGCAGCAGAAAGCAAAGGCAGGGAGAATAGCAGAGGAAAGCAACACGCTCAAAAGCAGAAAGAATCACAAAGAAACACAAAAAAACATCAGATAATTAGGATTGCGATATTTGCTGAATCCCATGATCCTCCAAGTACTGGTTCAACCTTCATGTTATGTCCCACAAAACAATTTATAACAAAGGCAGTTATCAGGATTTTTGAGACACTGCCCTCCGTACCAAGGAAGTCAGTGTGCACAACCTTCTGCACTTCAATAAGAAAACGGGTCTACTCAGGCGTGCTCCTCAGCTAAAGAACTTTGGAATCACTTGAAACAAAGCAAAGAGCCCAAATGCCTCGTGCTAGCCTTCCCAATGAGGCGCTAGCAGCCCAACCCACAAACCCTGAAAGCCCAAGGTTCACTGAACCCCGATTGCTCCCAGAGAGAGAGGAAAAAACCCTGAAAGCCTTCAAACGCGGTAGGCATGAGATGAACTCGCCTGGGGCTCCATGACAGGAGCCGCGAAGACTGCACCCTGGGGGGCTGCCTCTGGGGTAGTCTGGTTGGGGCCTCAGGGGTTTAGGGTTTAGGGTCTGTGGTTTCTGGTTTGGGCTTTAAGGGTTCATAGGCTTTTAAGTGTGCAGGGTTGAGGTGTCAAGCTTTGGGAGGGCTTCTGGGATCAAGCATACCATCACCGTTGCAAGTACTTTACTGTGTACTGCGAAGCAAACGGCACGTCACGGAAGAAACGAAGTTCATGGTCTTGCATATTGGCCTGCACATTCACGCATGATCTGCTACTACCAGCTAGAGCACCAACTACTCCTCCGGACGTTGTACTACGATCGGCTATGAGAGGCTATTGAATTTAGTTGTATATTTCTAGATCAGACTTAGACATTTTGTCACATTTACATATTCGTATGTAATAAGTGCTTCTATGATCTTTCCTGGTATTTTCTGTATCTGCATCCGTTCATCTACTTGCTTATCTACATAAGCATTTATCTGGGCGCATGCGTGTACTGTTTGCTGCTATGCTGACGATATTAAGTACCGATGCTTGTACTTACAAAACCAATGAATCAATCAATAAATCAACCAATCAATCAATCAGTCATTCAATCAGTCAATCAACCAATCAATCAATCAATCAATCCATCCATCAATCAATCAATCAATCCATCACTCAAAAAACTCACGAACTATCATATAATATACTGATGAGTTACTTAACTAGCTACATGATGGACATGAAACATACCTAGTTACACAATGCTGCTAAATTACTGCGCATTAAACGATGCTGAGCTATTTTATATGCGCAACTTAGGTCAGCCCAACGTGAAGCCGGAAACCTGAATATTGGCAAAATGAGCACACTCGGCATTGGTTTGCACGCGCGCAAGGGGTTTCCGGTTGATGGTTTAGGGTTTGCGAGCGGCTAGGCGCCCCTTCCCCAGGTCACGAAACATCCATCATCGAGGATGGCAGCAAAAGAGCCACCATAAGAGGATTGGATCTGCTGCACATTCTTCAGCTGATCCTGCACGGCACTACTGTCACCACCAGAGAGAGCATTGCCCCAACTCAGGACGGATCCATCTCCGACAATGGCAGCAAACGCACCGCCAAAAACGCCTGTGCAGGATTGGATCTGCTGCACATTCTTCAGCTGATCCTGCTGAGCACTGCTGTTGCCACCATAGTCTGGATGACCCCAGGTCACGACGGATCCATCGGCAAGAATGGCAGCAAAAGCACGGCCACAGGCTTGGATCTGCTGAACATTCCTAAGTTGATCCTTCACAGCACTGCTGTCAGCACCATGCATGGCATTTCCCCAGGTCACGACAGATCCATCGCCGAGGATGGCGGCAAAGCGTACAGACAGACTTGAACCTGCTGCACATTCTTCAGCTGGTCTTGCACAGTCTTACTGTCACCACCATCTCCAGAAACACCCCAGGTCACGACGGCTCCGTCGCTAAGAATGGCAGCAAACGCACAAGAAGTGGCTTGGATCTGCTGCACATTCTTCAGCTGAGTCTGCACAGCACTGCTGTCACCACCATGCACGGGATCTCCCCAGGTCACGACGGATCCATCGTCGAGAATGGCAGCAAAAGCTAAATGACAGGCTTGGATATGCTGCACATTCTTCAGTTGGTCCTGCGCAGAGCTACTGTCACCACCATGTTCAGGATTACCCCAGGTCACGACGGATCCATCGCCAAGAATGGCAGCAAAAGCAGCTTGAGTGGCTTGGATCTGCTGCACATTCTTCAGCTTGTCCTGCACAGCACTACTGTCACCACCATACTCCCGGGCGTCGGCCTTACCCCAAGTGACCACAGATCCATCACCACGAATGGCGGCAAACGCGTGGGTAGAAGCTTGAATGTGTAGCACATTCTTCAGCTGGTTCTGCACAGCCTTACTATCACCGCCATCGCCAGCAACACCCCAGGTCACGACGGATCCATCTCCGAGAATGGCAGCAAAAGCGCTGTTTGTAGATTGGATCTGCTGCACATTCTTCAGCCGATCCCGCACATCACGACTATCACCGCCACAGTGGTCATGACCCCAAGTCACGACGGATCCATCGCCGAGAACGGCCGCGAAGGCACTGGAATTGGCCTGAACTTGCACCCTGTTCAACTGCAATGTCAGGGAGTCACCGTCGTGAAGCCTGGCTTTCTTGATCGTCGAGCATGCATCCAGGACATCTCCGGATGTATTCAGTAGTCGGCCTTTTCCGACTCCAAGCGCTGCCTGCGCCCGAATCTTGACTGCCTCCACAGTGTCATCCGGCTCGGCGTGCACAGAAGCTGTCTTGCCACTGAGCAGTGCAACATTCAAAGTAGCAAACATGCTGCATGCCAGAATAAAGCAATGTCTATGTCATGCTTTAATTTAATGTTCCTGGGTGCACGGAATCCTCCTTTCCAATGTGGTTACACCGGAATACCGGAAAGAGGCCGCCGTTGTTGAAACAGCTACGTGTACTGCTGTACTCGTCCTTGTGCTGCTTGTCTAATCCTGCGACTAACACCGCTACAGTCCCCCTCAACAGACTGACAATAAGAGAATAATGACGATTTAAGGTTTGGGGTCTTCACATTCTAGGCGATTCGGAGCGCTGCGGGGTTATTAGGGGGCACAAATGTCCCAAGGCATTAACTTAATCAGGGCACTTGCTATGAAACTTAGTCTAGGCATGATGACGCAAGAAAGTTCTTGACTGTATGTGATCTTCAGAAAGCAGGAGACCCCCCTGGTTGTGGAAAACCCAGTACCCACAGACTCTCATGTCCCTTAATTATTAATTAAGGAATTTCCTTAAATCATATTAAGGATCCTACTGTAATTTAAGTATATTCCTTGATTAAGGTATATTGGACTTTCTGGGTACATCCAAAACCCTAACATGGTCACAAGGCAAGCTCATCAGCGGCAAAAAACTGGAGGACCAACACAATTCACCAGAATCCTGCAAGCAGTGTGCCTGCGGCTCCATCACTGGTGCAGCGAAGACTGCTCCCGGTGGCGGCATCTGCTCTGGCGCAGCCTGGACAAGGAAGCAGAGGACATTTCGTTGAACTTGAAAGATTGCAAGTCGTTAGATGTCATAGGTTCTATGGAGAAAGATCTGGGCAAGCTCTGTCCTTGAACCGAAGATACGTAATGTCACATTGAGTTCAAAGCAGCGCTTCTCCTTGTTCGTGCTTCTTCTGCTGTTGCATTGCTAGGTGGAGCGGCAGCGTATCGTGTTTTGGACAGGGTTGGGGCGGTGCGGAAGATGACAAGGGTAGCAACGGATCACATAAAGATCTTATGCGCCTTCACCCCAAGCATCATAGACTGAACTTAGGCCCGAGTCTGGCGAGCAAGTGTGCATATACATATACATATACATATACATATACATATACATATACATACACATACACATACACATATACATATACATATACATATACATGTACATATACATATACATGTACATGTACATATGCATATGCATATGCATATGCATACACGTACACATATACATACACATACACATACACATATACATATACATATACATATACATATACATATACATATACATATACATATACATATACATATACGTATACGTATACGTATACGTATACGTATACATATATGTGTATATATATATAATGTATATACACATACAAACACATCTGTATGTATATTTGGAAGATGGGTCCAACCTCAACTCCCGAACCCTAAACCCTGAACCCCTAAGCGCTAAACCCTTAAACCGTTCTAAACCCCATAAACCTATCCTTAACCTCGAACTTAAGCTCCAACTGTCCCTGACAGTTGAGACTTCGAGGGAAAGGCTGCAAACGTATCTTCACTGTCCGTTCAACTTATACATACGAATTTTCCGAAAATAGGGGGGTACCTTATTCTGGTGGGCTTCTAAAAGGGATCCTACCATTTAGGGTGCTATATTAGCGTCCCTCATTATATCTTTTCTATACAGACATAACAGGAACGGACTACGGATCAGCCGAACAACCAAGGAGCAGCATGTGGTAACGGAACAGAAATCAAACCTAGACCCTGGGTTTCGTATTGCGATGGGGATTTGCGAATGGATTGGGCTTGTCACCCTCAAATGCTTCCTCCTAGAACCCATGATGCATGCCGCTTCCGCCGGAAAAACCTAAGATGCTCCGCAGGGTTCAGGGTGTAGCCCTCGAGATGTCGAACGAACTTAGAAAAGTGAAACCCTTCGCTACTATTTGCTTAAGAACCCCCAAAAAATGAAAAATATATTCCTTATGGGGGTGATATAGGGATTATTATTTTTATTTTTTGGGGGTCTCTTAAGCAAATAGTAGTTCGGGGTTTAGGGTTAAAGCCTAAGACTGAGAAACAGGCATCGGCTTGGGTTGAGGTTACCGAGCCCGAAGGAGAGCTCGCAGAACGGCACGCTCTATCCTATACGATCCAGGTGTACACTGAAGAAGAATTCTGGCCGGAGCCCAAACCACTGAGCCCAAAGCTGGTTGCTCTCCAAATCAGATAATCAAAGTCTTATATCGCAACACCCGGAACCCTTTTGAACCCTAAGCCTCGAACCCTATCATAAAGCCCTTCCAAACCTGTAGAGCCCTCGTACATGAGGCTGTCTAAGAAAAAAAGCTAGACGACCCGTATCGAATCCTATGTAACACCCTTCCCGAGGTTGGGTGATGGCATGTAGGGGCCGGCGACAAGGACCATCAGACTGCCCAAATGCTGGGCGTTTAGAAAGGGGTTGTAAGGTAGCCGGGAATGGATTGTAGGAATTGACGATTCCATGCGGAAGCCTGTGCATTTACCCACATTATTCTTTGGGGCTTTGGGGTTTCTTCTCATGAGTAGATCATAACTATCAATCGTCTTTCCTATACTACAATACACCCGAAAACCCTATACTGAAAGTGAAATCCCATAATCATCCTACACCCTCATATTGAAAATGTAGTGACGGAAAGAACCCGTTAAAGGAGCCCGATGCCGATTAGTCGGGCCCTAAATTTCTTGTCTAGGGTGCAGAGGGCCTCCATCATGGGCGCAGCGAAGACTGCTCCCGGAGGTGGCATCTGCTGTGGCGCAGCCTGGAAAAGGAGCACTGCATTTGTGAATTCCGAGTTTACAGGGTTGCGTTGTTTTGCATGTTGTCCGAACCGTATGGTGAACTCCGACATGCAGAAAAGCTTCCTAGCACGCAAGCCCTATACACCCCTGTAAACACCCTGTACAACACACAAAAAAACCTTGTAACCGTAACCCCCTTTCTTTCTCCTCCCGAAAAACCCTACAGCCTAAAGCCTCAACCCGAAACCCGAAACCCTAAAACCCTAAACCCTAAACCCTTAACCCCTAAACCCTAAACCCCTAAACCCTAAACCCGAAACCCTAAACCCGAAACCCTGAACCCGGGCCTCCATGGTCGGTGCCGCGAAGACGGCTCCCTGAGGGGCGGTCTGGGCCTCGGGAGAAGGGTTCTTCTATAAGGGCTTGTACAAGGTTCTATAAGGGTCTGTACCTATACTGCCTGTCCTTGAAGGATGCAGCAAAAAAGGCAACCCAAAAGGCCTGCTTTCAGGACAATGGGACTTTGTAGCTCGGGTTATATGTGTTTATATATATATATATATATAAGGTAACCATACATATACAGTTGCTTATAGCCCCAATTTGTGCAGTTACAGGGCCTCCATCATCGGGGCTGCGAAAACGGCGCCCGGAGGGGGCGCAAACTGCGCGGGATCCTTCCAGAAGTTGGGTTTTGGGTTCAAGGTTCTGCTTGGTATTTTAAGGGTTCTTCTAGGGGCTCTTGTAGGGTTTGGGGAGTTTGGTTGCTTAGGCGGTGACGGGCTTAGGGGTTCAGGTGTCAAAGTTTAGGGGCTTGAGTGGTTTTGGGCTCACTTCACTCTTTAAGAGTGAAGGAAGACAAAAGGGCCCACTTCCTGATAACATTTTTTAGTACCTTAACTGGAGTTATGATTAAAGTCATAAGTATAGTTACCTTGTTAATGACCCCAGGCACTAAGTTCCATGAACCTTTCAGTACTGAAACACAGCAAACCTTGTGGCCCGAGGGCCTGCATCTCCATCATCGGCGCGGCGAAGATTGCGCCCTGGGGTGCACCCTCAGGTGGGGCCTGCGGAACTCTGCATTCTAAACCCACAAACCCTCAAGCCCTTAAACCTTTCAAGCCCGAAGCCTGAAGCCTTAAAAAGCTAAAGCCTCAAACGCCAAAAGCCCTGCACAACTTGAGCCTTAAATCTTAAAAGCCTTCAGAAAAATTTGCCTTAAACCCGTAAAGCCATAAGCCCCGGAAGCTATGAAACCTAAAGCTCCAGGTTGGGGGGGCATTTCCAAGGGCTCCTCGATCAAAACATCGAGTCTTGGGAGCGGCGGTTAATGATTTCGGGATTAGGGTTTAGGGCTTAGTTTTTAGGGTTTAGGGTTCAGGGATTAGGGTTTAGAGTTGAGACTTTAAAGGAACCGACTTTGGGCGCTTGAGGGGTCTTGAAATCAGCGTGCTTTCAAAAACTTGTTCATTCTCCAACCCCTTGTAGAGCTCTTTAAAGGAGCCCTTATAGTACCCTAAAAGTAATAAGTAACCCTAAACCCTAAACCCTAACCCTTTAAAGGAAGCCTAGAGATTTCGGGGCTTTGGGCCTTGAGTCTTCAGGGCCTTTTTAGCTTAGGGCTCTCGCAGGCTGCAAGGGTTCCCAGAGAACCATGTGGGGAGGGTTCCTGTAAGGGCTCCTTTAAGGGATCTATAAGGGATCTATAAGGGATGTGGGGAGGGTTCAAGGGTTTTTTTAGGGCTCCTATAATGCTTTATAACTATAGAGATTTAAGGTTCCAGTCAGGATTTAGGGAGTTTAGGGTTCCTGTAAGGGCTCCTTTAAGGGATCTATAAGGGATCTATAGCGATCTATAGGGGTGTTAGGGGTGTTTTAGGGTTTAGTGTTTAGAGTGGGGAGTTGTAGGGTTTAGGGTTTAGGGAGTTGTCAAAATTAGGGCCCCTTTTTGGGATATCCTAAATAGTAGGTGCCGGATTATACTAAGGACCCAAGAAGGGACCCTGATTTTGACAACCCCCCATGGTGGGGAGCTGCCGAAAATTAGGGGTGTTTGATTTTTGGTGTCCTTAGAACCATATAGTTTAAGGTCTATTCCTTAATTGAAGGATATTGGGTTCTCTGGTTCTCTGGGTTCGGATGAAAGCGGTTTCGAAACCTGAACCCTGGCAGACGAAATCATCCAGCAGAAAGCTTCAAACAGCAAAGCCCTAAACCCTGAAACCCCAAACCTTGAGACCCTAAACCCTGAAACCCTGAAACCCTAAACCCTGAAACCTGAAAGCCTAGACCCTAAACCCTGCAACCTGAAACCCTAGACCCTGAAACCTGGAACCCTAGACCCTGAACCCCGAAACCCCTGAAACCCTGAACCCTGGAGGCCCCGATGCCCAAGCATACCCAGAGAACCCAATATCCCTTAATTAAGGAATATAGCTTAAATCACATTATGAAGCCCCTCATAGTTTAAGGTATATTCCTTAATTAAAGGGTTTTGGGTTCTCTGGGTACTTGCGAGATGTTACAAGAAAGAGGCCCAGCAGCAAACCCTAAGCCCAAACTCCCCAAATGCCCTCCTATAAACCCTAAACCCTAAATCCCAAACCCCTAAACCCTAGACTCTGCATAACTCTAAACCTAAACCCAAAACGTCCTAAACCTAAAACTCCAAACCCGAGTTAAACCTTAAATCCCAAACCCCAGGCCCTTTACCATTTGCTAAATGGGACTTTCCGAAAATAGGGGACCCAAATACAGCACCCTAAAATTGCAGGATCCTTCTTATCAGGACCCCCAAAAAGGTACCCCTAATTTTCGGAAACTCCCAACTACTAAACCCGAAACCCTCAACCCTAAACCCTAAACCCTAAACCCCTAAACCCTAAACCCCTAAACCCTAAACCCTACTCAAACATAAACCGACCTGGCCCTGGACGTACTGCGTTGGGTGGTCTGGTCCGGCCAAGACCTTGGCTTTCCAGTCACGTGAGTAAAGGCTTCCTTTGAGGGTTCCTTGAAGGGATCTATAAGGGATCTGTAGAGTTTAGGGTTTAGGGGTTAGGGTTTTAGGGTTGAGGGTTTAGGGTTTTGGGGTTTTAGGGTTTAGGGTTTAGGGGTTTTGGGGTTTTGGGGTTTAGGGGCGTTTGTGGTTCAGGCTCTCTGGAAGCTGTAAAGGGTTCGTTAAAGGGTACTGTCAGGGGTGCTATGATAGGGGTTCTACAAGCTGGTTTCTACAAGGGTTCCATTGTAGTTGTAGAGGTCTTAACAATTAGAAGAGTTAGGGCTTTGTGGTGTATACCATACTATTTGACTCTAAGCCCTGAACCCCGAACACCCTTCTAACATGGCCCTGTGGATTGGGTGTCGATACGACCTAAAACTCCACACATGCTGGTTGCGTCGATGTTCCAGACACAACCCCCACACGGGCAGATGCTTGTGATAAAGCCGCGAAGACGAAAGCACTGCAGCAGGCGAAAGCGATAGAAGAGAGAGCGGCAGTGCCTTTCCTCCGTTATGATGTCAGGCAGGGTCGGCTAGGATGAAGGTCACAGTAAGGCTTGGGCACGCCCTACAAGTCCATCCCGGGACTCCTCAGAAACGCAGCCTTACGTAACTGCGCTACTACTTCACTGCCCAACACCCCTAGAGCCTCAACAAACCCCGACTCCACAACACACCCCGAGTCTAATGTAGGGTCCTTAACAATAAGAATAGGGTTCTGGGTCCCGTAATACCATAGCTATAATAAGGAACCTTAAGGCCCGTATATTATCTGCCGGGCCTGCTGGATGGTCTGCGCCGGATGTTCCTGCAGTGTCTGCAAGGGGTTGAACACTTGCGCCCAAAACGAACTGTTTCGTGTTTAGGTTAGAAAGGGGCCCCCACCCTGTAGTAGTGACTATAAGGATTATATTATGGCCCTATTATATTCCTATTATACCACTATTACCGGGTGGGGGCCCCTTCTAAGGTTTAGGGCCGACAAAGACGGTGTCGAAAAACTTGTAGTAGGGAAAGGAGGAGCGCGGCAATGGGAGTGGTGCAGATTGGCAAATCCGGCGATCGAGGATCCTATACCAGAACCCTGAATTCCTACTGTAAACTCGTGGTGAGCAAGACCATGCGGTGTTGAAACGGATCCCGAACCCCCACGCCTATTCGGAATACACAACATCTTGGTCGCTGGACCCTACAAAACCCTTTTTAACCCATTTAACCGCATCGATAGCCCTATATCAATCACCAAGAACGAGCATCGTACTGGTGATGATAATCAAAACGATCGTAGTAGAAAAAGTGAGCATAAGCACTATCATCATAAGGGATTTACTGAGAGCCCAGGGTTTACGTCCATGCAACAAACTTGTCAAGCAAGGACAAGTGGATCCAGGCAGTGGTGCAAAGCGTGGGATCCAGAATCAGCAACCCGAAGCCCCAGTGTCCTCGCGCCGCGGTGCCGCAGGGATATCCACTTCGCGAACATTTCCCTGCATGGTCTGCCCCTCCTGCCAGGTATATGTAAGAACAGTAAGAAAGAGAGAGAGAGAGAGAGAGAGAGAGAGAGAGAGAGAGAGAGAGAGAGAGAGAGAGAGAGAGAGAGAGAGAGAGAGAGAGAGAGAGAGAGAGAGAGAGAGAGCGAGATAGGGAGAGAGAGAGAGAGAGAGAGAGAGGTGGAGAAAGAGGGGTTCAAGGGAGTAGCGCCTAAACGTTGCAACGCTCCTGCGGGATCTCCACAACCTTCTGCACCATCTGCACCTGACATCACGAGTACAGATCTGATTATGAATACAAATAAACACAACATTAAGAACAACAACTATAAGAACAACGGTCATCATAATATTCAGACTGACAATGACAACAATGAACCTACTAGTACTGAACAGATGATAAATGAGTAGATAAACAATTGCATTCCGAAAAATAACGGCAACAATGGTGGTCGTAACTATAACCACAGTGATAACCATAATCTCATATCATCAACAGAGTAATTAGATCAGGAGGTTATACTGTAATCAGAACAAATTTTACAATACGAACAACTGTTGCCACTACATAGCAACCACAAAGGCAACAGCCAAAACCAGCGGCAGCGGCAACTGCTAAACAGCAATGGCAGGAGCAGCAACATCGATTACAACAGCAGCAGCCACCACACCCAAAAACACAACACCAAAAACACAACGACCACGACGACGACGATGACCAGGACGACCACGACGACTACGACACCACGACGACAACCTCGGGGACGGACTGCCATTTCCCAGCGTTGCCGTCGCTACTGCCGTCATGGTCTACATCTTGATAATGGAGAAGAAGAAGATGCTGAACATAATCAGCTTGAGCCCATCACCAACATCAGCTTTAGATAAATCACCATCATCATCATCATCGTCACAACCAATCAACATCACCATCTCGTTTGCAGAAACCGTCGTACAACTTTTCAATGTATAGCTCCGTAGATGATAACCTCCCCAATAACAGTGATAGCCGGGTCGAATGCTTTGGACTTGTGCCTGTTGTGACCAGGGCAAACGAAAACCGTTTCAAAGCGAATATACTCCCTGAGCTTCTTGCTCAGAGTCCTCATCGAGTCTATGAGGGTTCTACATTTACCGACCTCATCCCCGAAAACCAGAACCCAAAACTTTCCGAGGCCGTTGCCATCGGAACTTCCACGATCTTCTCGATGGTCTGGACCTCTTTTCGCAGGGTTTATTAAGGTAGCCTAGCCTCAAAAACGGTTTTCGGGTTTAGGGCTTAGGGTTTGGGGGTTTAGGGTTTAGGGGTTTAGTTTAGTGTTTAGGGGTTTAGGGGTTTAGGGGTTCAGGGGTTAGGGTTTAAGGGCTTAGGGTTTAAGGGTTTAGGGTTTAAGGTTTAGGGCCTAAAGTTTAGCTTTGTAACCTGGCCTAGCCTAAAAAGGGTTTAGGGCCTCGGCTTAGGGAGGGGTTGCTATTCAGTTCTTTTAACCGGACTCACAGACACAAAACGTGAGCATGCAGCGGATGTAAGAAACAAGACTGCGTGGCAAGAAAAGCAATAGCAACGGAGAGAACAAGAATCCTGAACCCCTACACAAACAAAGCCCATATCTTGGAAAGCCGCAGAGCCCAGAAATGGACGTCGTGGCAACAACAATGGATGTTGGACATCTTGCTGCATCCACTATCAGACACCACTAGACATGAATGCAAAGTGGATGTCGCAGAAGTAACATGATGGCCAACACAAACAGCGAAAGGAAAGAGCACCAATCCACACCGAGCATCATAAGCATCAGAAATGGTTGCTGCTCGGTGGGTGCTGGGCGGGTTCATTGATCTGGGTAACAGCACAACTGCTTACTGTTTTTGCATCCAGGTTGCAATTGGATGCCCATTGTGCATCCATTTTGGCCTTGACGCCAATGGATGCATGTGATGCATCCATTTTGATTTCCGTCGTCCCTTGTGCGTCCGTTCTTGGGGGGCGTTCATTGCGCATCGATTTATTTAAGGGAAATGGATGAAATATGGACGTGGTGGGGGCGCCAGAAAATGTGCGCAAAATGGATGCCTCCGTTTTTGAAATTGGGCGCAACATGGATGCCCAATTCCGAAATGGAGGCAAAACGAAGGGGCCAGGCCAAAAAGGAACGCCCAGGGACACGGCCAGGTTGCGATCGAGCAGGCGGGTTAACTTACCTTTGGTTAGTAGGAGGAATGGGGTACAATTATGACTACTATTACTACCATTCTTCCATTCCCTACTAACCAAAGGTATGTTAAGGTTTTGGGTTTAGGGTTCATCGGCAATGGCGACGGTGACTAGAAGCTAAGACACGGCTCTCTGATAGGTATCTGTTTGCATAATCTGGGCGGCATAACCATGAACCCTACACCATAAACTCCTTGCATGATCTGAGAAAGGCCAAACCCTCAACCCTAAACAGAAACCCCCGAACCCCGTAGACCTTGAACCCTAAACCCTAAACCCGGCTCCCCTTGCCTGCGGGACTTCGACCTGCTTCACGATCGGCACCTCCACGACCTTCTCAACGGTCTCAATGACGGTGACCTGCATTGCAGGGGCCATGGTTAGGGGTGTTTTGAGCTCTGCGGCATAATATAGGGGCCTTTATAATCAACATAGGGTTTTGGTGCCCATTATACTTTAATTATAATACGGCAGCCCCACAACAGTTATAGGTAATGATGTAGGCCCCCATAGTATGCTTAGGGCTTGCATTATTGTTGAGCCCCGGCGGCTTTCGGGCACGAAGCTTGCATTATCTGGGGGCTTCCCGTTTTAGGGTTTAGGGTTTAGAGTTTAGGTTTCGATGGAAGTAGCCTGGCTGCGTCATGCTTGCCAGGTCCCGTATGTATGCTGGAAATTGCTTTCAATAAATGCATGTCTATATCCTAACACAAATATCTACGTAGATACATGGTTACGTACTTACTAGATTTGTATGCATGCATATAACATGGAGCGCTTCAGCTTCTTCGCACAAATGATGCAATGCATGTGTTCGTCTGAACAGATAAAGCTACCTGCCTGTGCGTATGATTTGTATTCATGTATGGGAGTTTCCGAAAATAGGGGACCCTAATACAGTACAGTACCCTAAATTAGTAGGATCCTTATTATAAGGACCCCAAGAAAAGGTACCCCTAATCGTCGGAAACTCTCGTATGTAGCTTGTTTAGGTAGGCAGTTGGGTAGCCAGGCAGGCATGGTCGGTAGGTCAATAATGTTGGGGCCTTAATAATTAAACATTCTACAAGTACAACAAGGAAACCCCAAGACAGTATGGGTAATTGTTTAGGCCCCTAAATTAGCTGATGGAACGAGGGATGCATGCAGGGGCTTCAGACTTTCAGGGACACCTGAGGTCGGTTGGAGCTGTGGGGATCGAACGCTTCAAAGTCTGGGTTTGAGGGGATGAAGAAACGAGTTCCAATTCCTTCTATGTTAGGGAACCCAAACCACACAGGCTCTGACACAAAAGAAGCTGAAAGGCTTCGATACGCAGTTTGGGTTTAGGGCCCGGAAAAGAAGACAAACAGGATCCAAACCAACTTCATAGGTGTTTCATGAGGTGAGAGGGTTTTCTACTGGCGTTTGATACAGCCTGCCAGAGGGCTTCTCATAACCGGGCTGTGCCTAATGTTTGTGTTCTTGTATTCAGGGTGCTGGTGTACTGGAGTCCCTTCCCTGAACCCCAAAGCCGAAACCCTCGTCTGAAACTGCGAGAAGCAAACACATGCCAATGTGTCAGGCGCTTGAATGTGTTTTTTGCGTGTGAGAAAGCGGATACCTGCACGTACATGTTGCTTGGATAGACCTGTGGTTCGATATATGTGTGTATACATATATGTAGATATTTGTATCTATGTGTGTATGTACGTATGTATGTTTATGTTTGTACACATGTAAGTATGTTTGTATGTATGCATGTACGTATGTATGTCTGTAAGTTAT